GGCTCTCCACTGTGCAATCTGCTTTACTCACACATCTTCATGCACTGTTCTCCAAGAGCCACACTTTCTGACCTCCTAGGCTTTCTCCTGAAATTAGGGTGAAAGCCTCTATGACCCCACAATTCTTGGATTCTGTATGCCCATAAAACCAGCACCATGTAGGTAATGCCAAGTTCTGCCACCAGCTTGAGCCGTAGCTGCATTTCCTTGGATCATGGCTGCATAGACCTCTTCCAGTTAGATGGCTGAGCACTGTGAACCAAATTCCAGGGAAACAATCCCTAGGCAGCCCTTAGATTTCTCTTCTCAAAGCCATGACTTTCAAAGAAATTTACCTTTGCCATTTCACTCCCTTGAGCCAGAGATGTCTTGCTGATTCCTGAGATGCTCTTAAGGCATCTTTCCTATTCCTCTGATGCAAAGTACCTGGATTCTTATTTTTTATTTTTAACTTTTGAGACAGGGTCTCGCTTTGTAGTTTAGGCTCACTATGTAGCCCAGGCTGGCCTGAACTCACGGCAATCTTCTTGCCTCAGCCTCCCGAATGCTGGGATAACAGGCATGTGCCACCATGCCTGGCATTTATTAATGCAAATCTTTTTAGCAGTTATGTTCTCCAAGGCACTGACTTTGTAGGTACTTCCCTGCTGATGAAACTGTACACTTTTAACATCTTTTGGCTCTAGTATTCACTCCTGATTTTTACTGTAAGATATGATTAATTAGTCCAATGCCCTTAATCTCAGTCTCCTACAGTCTCAGTTTATGTAGACACATTTTCTACCAGAGCATAACATAGTCTTTAGCCAAACTGTCAATGGAGTCCTTGCTCCTAACTGAAACTTCCTCAGCCTGGCCTTTACCATCTTCATTTTTATCAGGATTCTGGTCTTCTGAGCTCCAACTAGAATCTCCCATCAAGCATGACTTGCATTATTCTAGTGGTTCTCTAGCTGGTGTCACCAAACCTTCCCATGCTTTTTCCATGAACAATTTCCAAAGGCTTTGGAACCACATGGTCGTGTACAGTTATGGCATGACTCTGCTTTTCTGTTTCCAAAATCTGTTTCAGTCCCTTTTCTCATTGGTAGGATGAAATATCCAACATGTATGATTTAAATTATGTGAGGTTCATGTGGTTCACATTTTCAGTCCATAGTTGGCTGGTTGCAAGGCAGAAATGGCATGGAAGGGTCTGGTGAGGGAAAGCAGCTCATGTCATGGTGGCCAGAAACAACATGAGGAGAACAGCCAGGGAGGGAGATATACCTGTCCAGGTCTTACCTCCAGTCACTCTCCTGTTCTGTATCTTCTCTTCAGACTCACCACTCAGCAGCACATTTTGTTATGAATTCAACAGTGGATTAGCCCATCACTATACTGATGAGAATACTGTCTCTGTGATTCAAGCACCAAGAGTTTAGTGAGTGTGCACATCCTGAGAAAGCAACCTGGCATCCCATCTCTTATGCTTCTGGTTTTAGAAAAGTTCTAGTATAGCAAACTGCTGCTGTGCCAAGATTTTGGCAATGCAGTTGGCAGTTTATCCTTGGGGAAGCGAAATGCTTATGACCAGCATATAGGGAACATATGAATAGTAAAAGAGTATTACGTAGCTAAAACGCTTGGAATTGAGGTCAAATGTTATGGCTTAGATCTGGAATGTACCCCAAAATCTCATATGCTTGGAAGGTGATAGGATCATAGATATTCTACTCATCAGGGGATTTGTGCATTGACAAGTTCACTAGCTGAATGTGCTGTTAGGAGGTGGGGCCTGGTTGGTGGTGAGTCACAGGGGGTGTGACCTAGAAGAGTACATTCTTATTCTTGTCTCCTCCCTTCTCTCTGCTCCTCTCTTTTATGCCTCTCTCTTCCCTATTTCTGTTTCTGTGAACTTTTATCATGCTGTTTCTGTCTTGGAGCCTGCTGGCCATGAACTGAACCGACTGAAACTGTGAGTCAAAATAACCCTTGCCTACTTCAGTTTCAGGGGCTGGTTATTGTGTACCAGTGGATAGAAAGCCACCTAGTATTAGCTCCAATACAAATTCAACATAAGAATTTTGAGGGGACTGCAAACATTATATCCATTGCACATGTCTCTGGGATATTTCTCCTGACTTTTTGTTTCAATCCCAATTTCTGTATTATTAAGAATCAACTCTCTCTTCATGTTTTCTGTGAAGGAAACTTTTTTTTGACTTTGTTAGGTAGGGTTTTTTAGACTACTATCTTTTATTATTTCTTGTTTACTACCTCTCCATAGTTACATATTATACTGTAGGGAACATTGAGATGTGTGTGTGTGTGTGTGTGTGTGTGTGTGTGTGTGTGTGTTTTGGAAAGAGTTTATTGCTGCTGTTTGGTGGAGATAAATGTATAACATACATCTCCTATCTGTATAGATTACTTGCAGTGTCCAAGGCATACACATAATATTTATGAGTGCGTAGACAACTGGAATTAACTTTTATGTTAGATGGTATGATTTAGTAAAATATTACTCAAGTTATTTCTTTAGAAAATTTTCAAGCTTTAACAGCTCTTCTTTGGGGGACAAAGATATATTGGTCAAAGTAGTTTGTTAAGGAAGTCAAACTTTTCTCACGTGTGCTTTATTTTTTCCTGTAATAGTTCTGAGAACTCTCAGTGTGCTGATGTGCATTGTGAGTCTTCAAAATCAAATTCAGTATGCAGCATTTCCTAATCACATATGGCCATAGAATTCCTTCTCATCCATATCCCATAGAACACAATTTAGAGGCACTGATTTTGTAGCATATGATACTAGATAATGTAACTGACTGATTTTAGGTTGCTTCTTATTTTGTTCAGGTACTGAGATGTGCTTCACAAACACTGTACCCCTGAGCTACATCCCCAGCTCTTATTTTGGATCATCTCCTTATAATTTAGTTTCTTTGTGTATAAAATATCTCATGTTGTCGTTAACAAAATAAAAAGTCTATTAAATTCCCAGGAGTTCTCACTATATGTTAGCAATTACAACTATTAATAATAATTTATACAGGAGCTGACTAGTCATCTTCATGTATCCAGTGCTTTGTAGGCTACCATCTGTAAAGCTGGGTTGAATTAAAATTGTTGCCATATGGCCCTTGCTCATTCATTTATTTTGGTAGTGCTGGGGAAAGAACCTAGGGCTTGACATGCTAGGCAATCACTGTACCACTGAGGTACTTCCAATCTGTTGTTCTTTGTTCTTTGAATAGGGTCCTGAGTCTGTTAGATCAGCGTTGTTCTAGTTGCATTGTTCTAGTTCTGTTTCTTATTGTCTCTTTAAAAAAATAAATACAATAAAAGAAAAAATAAGATTGAACTGCACAGCCTCTAGAGTTTGTCAAAAGACAAATACTACAGCAAATTTAGTTTAAAGATTTCATTGGCTTTTGTCATTCTAGAATCAGGTTCTGATTTGTTGAGAAGAGGATGCTGCTGCTTTTAAAATATTTAACTAAATAAGTAATTTTTGCAGGGCTAGGGATGGAAACTATGGCCTCACACATGTAAGGCAAATGCTCTACTACTGAGCTACACCTTCTGCCTGGGATGCAGGCATTATAGGCAAAGAAGGCCAGAAGAAAGCAGACACAGGGAATAAAGAGTAGATTTCAAAGTTACTTTCCTTGTAAAGCTTAAAGGACTGGAGACTTCCTTACCATGCTGCCTAAAGCTGGCTTGTTTAGGGGTTTGGAAATTATCATTCTCCTGATTTCTTGGAAGGTGAGGTAACTTAATTTCTTCCTGGTTGATGTGGAGCTTCAGCAGGAGTAACTGCTCTTTGGTCTGGCCTAATGGGCCTAGTGCAGTTTAGTCCAAATCAATGTCATCCTGTAAATTTTACTTAAGATATTTATTCTCTCTTTAATGTCCCAGGGTAGAACAGAGTTTTTTTGGTTATTTTTGGTTTTTTTTTCTGGATTGGCAACACAAGGAGTTTTAATACTTTGTACACAGGCAGATGAACACACACACACACACACACACACACACACGCACGCACGTGCACACACAATCCTTATTACTCAACACTGAAAACTTTTTTTATACTTACAAGTGCCTCTTTAAACTCAGCATCTTTCTCTTCCCCCCAGAGCTGGAGGTCAGACCCAGGACCTTTGGACTGAGCTTCTTCCTCAGCCTCTCACCCTCTTCCTTTTTTTTTTTTTTTTTTTTTTTTTTTAACATTTTGAGACAGGGTTGCTAAGATGTTTAGGCTGTGCTGGGATTTGTGATCCTCCTGCCTCAGCCTCCCATCAACATTTTTGATATAAAGGGATTTTTCTTATGTCAAACTGTTATTTTAGACCGCTGTTGGTTACTATGTACAACAGTATGCACCACAAAGTAGAATTTAGGACTTGACATCATTCTGATACATCTTCTTCCAACTGTATGAGCAAGTGCTGCTGTGGGGTGGTTTTTTGTGTAGGATTAGGAAATACTGCGGTTCTCAAAGTAAACCAGATTATTATTTTTTTAAATTTCAAAGAAAAAGTTCATACCTAGTGAAGTATTGTTTACAAACTTCGCAATAAAACAAAAAAATGCAAGAAAACTTCATAGGTTCAAGGGCCATAGAAACCAACCCAACCCCACAGCTTTCCTAACTGCCAGGACCAGGGTTAGGTTGAGAAGACACAGAACTCGTGGACCTCCAGCTGGATGTAAAATTTGTAAACTAAAGTTAGAAAGTCTAATAAATTACTATGAGAGTTAAGATTTGGAGAGAGAGCCCTTTTAACTTTATTTGCTTTCTATCCAGTTTTGTAGCAAAACATTCTGTAAAATACACCTAAAAATGTGATTTTAAAAAATATTTCCTGCCAGACCTGGGGGCATATGCCTGTAATCCCAGAATTTAGGAGATTGAGGCAGGAGGATCACTGTGAGTTCAAGGACAGCATGGGTCAGAATGAACTATGTAAGGAGACTCTGTCTCAAAACACACACACACACACACACACACACACACACACACACACACACACACCCAAAAACAAATTAAAAAACCTAAAATGAGACTTCAGGAGTACCTTTTGGGCTAATGCCTGCTGCCTGCGTGACAAAAAACCGAAACAATCATGCAATACAAATCGAAAGTGAAATTACTTTTAACCTTTTATTTCAGTTAGTGGCTAACCATTGGAAACACAGGTTTGGTGTTTCACGTTACGGTGAAAGTTTAAAGACAAAATGTACGTTTGAAGTTTTCACTTTTTTTTTCTTCTTTTCCCTTTTTTTGAAGGAACCAAGCAAGGACACCAATTCCGAGGGCACCTTGGATCGCGGAGGCAGCGCCAGCTCTAGCCCCGGGCCCAGGGCGTCCTGCCCAGCCCGTCCGGTTCCGCCTGACGTCGCCGCTGGCTTCCAGGAAGGGCGAGCGCAGCCGGGGCGGCGCTGGACTCGGGGCCGCGGGTGAGTGAGGCGTCCTACTGCCTGCTGCGGTTCCTGCCGCCAGCGGTTTGGGGCAGTAGGGCTGGGCCCGGCGGGTTCCACCGCCCGGAACAGGGAGGCTTTGGGGACCCAGGCCCTCAGGCTAGCGGCTCTAGTGCTGCTTGGGGTCGGGGTCCCTGAGATCACGCACTCCCCAAGGACGCATTCGCCCCGGGCCGCGTATCCTTCTCGGGCCGTGGGGACCTCATACCCAGTTGTCTGTTTTGTGGCGCCTCTTACGGGAAATAGAAACCTAAAGTGATTTATGTTTCCCCACGGTTTTCTTGGAGTGTCTCCAGATAGTCCCCAGGCAAACAGATTTCTTAAGATTATTCTCTCTGTTAGGCATAGAGTTCTGCAGTCTTTCCTCACTTGTTGTAATACGCAAGGATTTTTGTTTTGTTTGTTTTGTTTTTTGGTACCGGGGATCGAACTAAGGACCTCGCGCTTGCGGCGGCAGTACCACCACTGAGCTAAATTCTTAGCCCCAAGTTGTTGTTGTTGTTGTTATTGTTATTATTATTATTATTTCTTTCCTATTTTGTGGTGGAAGGCATCCAAGGGAGAATATTATTAAATAGATTATGGGAGGTTGTAGTTTTGGATTAAATTTGTGCACTTGGACCTCCAAGAGACCAGACTGAAAATCAAAATGGAGTAAGACATGTTAAATCCTTGTTACCAAAGGAAATTAAGTTGTTAGCTGTTTTTCTGAGAAACTAGGAGAGAGAACAGCCTGGTCTCCTAAGCAGGTCAGTTTCAATTCACATGGTAATGAAGTTCCCTCTTCGTTAGTCTTTACAAAAAATAACCTGAAGGTAACCAGTTATTTTTCTATTGTTCGGTTTCCCTGTTCCTGCCTTAGAAGGAGGATAACATTGAAATGAATCCCACACTTTTTATGTTCTCTGTTTTTTTCAGCTCTTTCTGTAAAACCAGTTTCTGTTCAGCCCACTGGGACACCTCTCCCCGCAGGGGTGTTGAACCTGGGACCTTTGCACTGAGCTACACCCCAGGCCTTTTTGTTTTTTGACACAGTCTCCCTAAATTACTCAGACTGGACTTGAATTTGAGGTGGACCTGCTTCAGTCTCCCAGAATACTGGGATTATAGGTGTGTGCCACCATGCTGACTCATTCATTCTATTATGGAATGAAGTGTTGTTCAAATCTAGAATGGCAAAATAAAGCCAGTTAGGGTCTTTAAAATAAGTTGTTATAGTTTTGTTCTTTGATGCTTTGTTTCTTATCTATCCATCCATCATACCCCCCCACAGACATAGCTATAGGAATATTCAATCATATATGGCCAGGCACCCAAGTAGTAAGAGTGTACTAGGGAGCTAGGGTGATGGTGATTTGTATTATTATTATTTTTTTATTGCTGTAATAAATGACATGGACTTAGTGCTTTACACACACACACACACACACACACTTTTATTTATTTTAAGATTTCGTAGTTAACCAAGTCTCACTGGGTTAAAAGTCAAGGGTTTGGCTCTTGGGATAAATCCCATGTTTTGATTTCTGGAATCCACCCTATTTGGATCAGTAGCTCTTCCTTCACCTTCAGAGCTAGCAGCGTTACATCTCTGACCAGTTTTCTGTGTCCATCTCTCACTTTGACTCTTTAGTCCCACTACCTTTTTTTTTTTCAGTTCCATGGATTGAACTCAGGTCCTTCTGCTTGTGAGGCAGGTTCAACACCACTGAGCTACATCCCCTGCCTAGGCTCTTATTATTTCATTTTTTGAGACAGGTTCTTGCCATGTTGCCCAAGATGGATAATCCACAATGATTTACATATTTTGAAGACACTGAATAGGAACCTGAATTCAATCTAGAGCAGTGCTGGCAAACCTTTTAGGGACAAATGCCCAAAATGAACCGAACCCACTCATTTATCGCAAAGTGCCAACACTACAACTAAATCTGAGTTTAGAAAAAAGAATTCATACCTTAACATCCTTTGTCTTGGAAAAAAAACCCAAACCTGTGCCATAGGTTCAGCGCTACTGATCTAGAGGCTTAATTCTCCTTTGCAGTATAATCTAATATTTTCACAGGTTCTTGGGATTAGGAAGTGGACATTTTTGCAGAAAGTTGTCAGTTTGCCACATGATGCATCGAAGAAAAGAAATACCATATGTATATCCCACTGAGTGCAAAGTAGGAAATTATTCAGATGGTAGACATGCTGAAGGAATGCTGAGCTATTATGTTGTAAACTATTTAAACTGAGAGCATTTAATATATACTTTAAATATTGGCATTGGGACAATAATAATTTTAAGAGCAATACAATAATATTTACAGTTTCTGTCTTCTGGAAATGTAATAAAGAGAACTTCATATGCATAAGATGCCCTACACTCAAGTCAAAATTCCACAATTCTATAAACTGAGTATTTTCAGTGTGCAGAGTTGTACTGTGCAGGTACTTTGCAAGAAGAACTGGACACAGATACAAAACTGAAGTAGCTCAAAAGAGATAAAGGAAGGGGAAGTGACATCCTTTGAGGAAATCAGAAAAGGCCTGAAGAACTTGGAAGTTGTTCAGAGTGGACCCTCAAGGATATCGCTAGGTGGAGATGAAGTTTGAGAAGGGAGGAAGAATGTGAGACACAGAGGGAGAAAAAAGGACCCTTCAAGCAACGCTCTACATCGGTGTGGCTTGTGTTTAGAGTCCCCCCAAAGCCTCATTCGATTGTAGGTGGGGCTTTTTCAGAGGTGGCTGGGTCTAGAGTGTGTGATGTTGGAGCTGATTCATGGTACAATGCTAGGATCAACGACATTAGGATTAAGGACCTGCCCTGTGTAGCCTGGATAACGTATAAGGAATAGAAAGACCTGTGGTCAGCCCTTGTTGCTTTGCTACCTTCTGCCTCTTGTGAATTGTTTTCTCCTCTGCAGGGTCTGTCTGCTACGCCACACTGCCTCGGAGCCAGCCAAAATGACTGAAACTTCTACAATCTGCACTAGATAAACCTTACCTCCTTCAATTTTGGGTCTTTTTTGTTGTTTTTTGTTTTTTGAGACAGGGTCTTACTATGTAGTTGAGACTGACCTGGAACTCACTGTGTAGCCCAGGCTGGTCTCGAACTCACAGCAATCCTCTGGCCTCAGCCTCCTGAGTGCTGGGATTACAGGCGTGAGCCACCACTCCCGGCTTTCAATTTTGGGTCTTGAGTATTTTGTCTCAGCAACAAGTAAGTAAGATACTTGGTTAAAAAGTTGTCTAAATGAGATTGGTAGGTAAATTGGGATTAGACTGCTAGACCTTGCATGCACATCATTAGGAAGATTCTGCAGTTGTTGATGCATTAGGGATATATGTGCATTTGGATGTATATATTATTTATATACATACATAGATTCCTTGTTTAACAGCCTACCTGTTTAGCCACTGCTTATGACTGAGGTGCATTTTTCGGACTTATAACCTATCTCTTTTTTGTGTGCCATGTATGTTTTGCATGTATGTAGCCTCAGTAGTTTTTTTGTACCGTACACCTTATGTATATAATGCTGTAATTTTTGTGGATTGCACTGTATAGTACAGTACTGCAGTTTTATGTTCTGTTATACATTACAGTACTGCATTTAAGGGTTATATAAATAGTGCCCGGGATTTAGCTCAGTGCTGCTGCGCCTGCCTCACAATTGCAAGGTCCTGAGTTTGTCCTCGGTATTGAAAAAAAACCCAAAACAAACAAACAAAAAACAAGCAAACAGTTACACAAATAAAATCAAAGTCATCAAGTTGGAGTTTCCTTTGACCATTTCTTTGTTCTGAATATTATAATGTACATATTATATACAGTTCCTTATTTAACAGCCAATTCACTTTCTTATTCACAGGACCGTCCACTTGGTTATGGTGTGAGATCTTTTGATGATTTGTAGTATTTTATTTGCCAGTATCTTACTACGGATTTTTGCATTTCTGTTCATTAGAGATTGGTCAATAGTTCTCTTTTTTTAGTTTGGATCCTGTCTAGTTTTAGAATCAGAGCAATGATAGCTTCCAGGAATGACTTTGGGAGTACCCCTCCCTTTCAATTTCATTAAAAAGCTTGAGGAGTATTGATGTGAGAAACTTCCCTGAAGTTTTATAGAGTTCAGCAGTGAACTAACTGCTCCAGATCCAGTTTCTTAGTTCATAGGCTTTTTATTGCTGCTTCAATTTCATTGCCTGTTATTGAATTATTTAGGGCTTTTAAATCTTGGTTTCATTTTGGTAATTTATATGTATCTAGGAATCTGTCCATTTCTTCTGAATTCTCCAATTTATTGGCCCACAGTCTTGTGAAGTAGTTGTTAATAATCTTTTTTATTTCAGTAGTGTGTCTATTGTGATTTCTCCTTTTTCATTTCTTTTTTTTCCCTCCTTTTTCATTTCTAATTGCATTGATTTGGGTCTTTTCTTTCCTTTTTTTTTTAAGATTGCCTAAGGGTTTGTCTATTTGGTTTATTCTTTTGAAGAAACAACTCTTCCTTGTACTAGCTTTGGTTTTGAATTGTTCTTGTTTTTCTAGGACCTTGTGGTGCATCATTAGGTTATTTATTTGAACTTGCTGTTTTTCTGCTGTGGGCAATCACAGCTATAAACTTTCCTCTTAGGGCTGCTTTCATTATGTTTCATAAATTGTGTTATGTTGTACTGGCGTTATTTAGTTCCAGAAACTGTCTAATTTCTCTGTAATTCATTGTTTGTTTAAGAATATATTATTTAGTTTCCATACATTTGCATAGTTTCTCTTTTGTTGTTGATTTCTAGTTTAACAGCATTATGCTCTGATAATAGGCATGGTTTACTTTCCGTTCTTTTGTATTAATCTGAGCTTGCTTTATTAGCTAGTATGTGGTCTGTTTTGGAGAAAATTTCATGTGCCACTGAGAAGAATGTATATTCTGTTGTTGTTGGGTGGAACACTATTTTAATAATGAATTTATTCCCAGATTTGGTCAATAAAAACTCTCTGAAGTTGGGTTTTGTGTCCTTTTGACATATCCTCATCATTCTTTGAAGCATTTCTTTCCTTTTGGCATGACAACACATCCCAGCCTTGGAATTTTCTGTCCCAGTCCTGGGACCAGCCATTTCACCAGAGTCCTGGTTCCTTAGAGTAGAGAATGTTATTATAATCGAAGGTCCTGGTGCTAGGTGTGTTTACTGCTATTGTCTCTGCTCCCAGCCCCCTCTCCTCCCAGAAGACAGGCCTAGGACATATGTATACATACACATTTATGTAGCCTTTCTCCTATTTCTCTACCCATCTATTCATATACCCATTTTCTATCTCTACCTAATCTAACCCTGTCATCCATCTGTCTGTCTGCCTATCTATCTATCTGTCATCTATTTATCAAGTTTATAATGATATATACAGTTCCAACCCACAGGATTTATTTTTGCTGTCCTCTTTATATGTGTGTATGTGTGTGTGTGTGTGTGTGTGTGTGTGTGTGTGTGTGTATGTATTTACAGTTGTTTTACTCATATAAATAAATAAATATATATTTTGGTACTGCAGATGGAACTCAGGACCTTGTGCTTGCGAGGCAGGTGGCAGAACCATTGAGCTACATCCCCGGCCCCACCCCTCTATAATTTATTTAGTTGATCAATTCCCTGTGTGTATGTTTGGCTACTGGGGGCTCTTTCACTTGGTTGCTGTGTCAGTTTCAAGTATCCCTATCATACTTGTGGTGTGCTTTGATTTGTTTTCTAGCATTTTTTAATTATATGGCACCAAAGGATATTCCAGGCATGTCTTGTGTATTTCCTATCCCAGACCTAGAATCAGCTACTGCTCCAAGGGGACTTGGTTCCTTTGTTGCAGAATAATATTACAAAACAAGATCTGGGTGTTACATGTCCTTTTGTTTTTCTGACATCCCTGTATTCACAATTGGTAAACAAAGGGATGACTAATTTCTTCCTAATCTTTTATTTTCATAAGAAATAAATTTCCTCTATTTTGCTTGTAAGAATACTGAGAATCTAACCATTCAGAATCTTGGAAAATTATATTGCAAACTGGATAGTAATGTGCACTGAAAAACTTGAAGCCATGATGTCCCTTATCCCAATTTTGATCTGGGAATTTTCCGTCTTAGTAACTTAATGTGCAGGCAGGACTTCTTAACTTTTTTGTGTTTCATTGACTCCTCATTTGCCAGAATGGTCAGGGCCTTTCTCAAAACAAACAAAACGAGAAATATAAAATTTAAAAAGTGTATTATAAAATACATAGACTTATAAGGGAAACCAATTGTGTTGAAATGTGATTATCAAAATATTTAAGGAAAATTTTGCTATAGTACTATTTATCATTGTGTTATAGTACTATGTATCATCCTAAGACCTAGAAGTGAGTTTAATGACTCCTGTAGAAGCTGGGTTAAACAAAACATATTTCAAAATACTTGCAGCAGTTGTAATGTTCTATGAAAATATATGTGCTTTCTACTAGTGACTTTGTTAGAGGTGCTATGAATACTAACATAGTTGCCTATAGTTATAATTGAGGAGAATGATAAGTTTCAGTTAAAAGTTATTAAAAAGACATGTAATCCTCCCCCACTCCCATCCAAGTTAGTGACCCAAGGTATGTAAGAAAACCCAAGGTGAGATCACCTCTGTAGAGGGAGGATGAGTTGGGGGCTTACATGCTTTGTTTACATTTATTTGGTAAGTATAGTAGGGAGAATTAAATATTTAAGTCAAAACCTTTGGAAAGATTGGAAGATCAAAATAGTAGTCTTTAAAATGAAGCATAATAGGATTGGGATGTGAATTACAAAGGAATATTAACATCTGTTGTTTTCTGTACACCATTGAATTGAGAAGTGAAAGCTTTTTAGAATGTTTTTGTATGTTGTAGATGTGAAAATTATTCGAAATACAGACTTTGGATATAAGCCACATGAAAATAAAGACTGATGATGGGGAAAAGCTAGCAAAGAAGAAATGTTTCTTCCATAGATGAGTAAACATTTTTCTTTTCTTCTTGCATCTGCATACATATACTATTATGAACTTTAAAAAAATTATTAGAGAATAATGGAACCCGATCAAGATGACAAAAGTCAAGCACTTAAAGAAAAACAACTGGATGAAGAATCTATGAACGAGGAACAAAATGAGGTAAAAAGAAAATTGCTAGGTATTATTAAAATTAATCTATATCAGTTTTGTAGAAAAGAATGTTTTGTATGTCTTTGTCCAACATTACTTTGAATTTGGGAGGCTATTTGACTTCAAAAAAATTTTTTTTGCTTTTATTGTGTTACTCAAGTCTTAGAAGAATATTTCTATTTCTATTCTTTTACAAAGTTTACTTCAACTACCTCTTACTCCCTCATTTCTTGGATTTGCACCTGAAAGTTAAGAGATTAGTTAGCAATTACTGTGTATCTGATCAGATCCAAGAGGAAACAGAAACCCATTATCCAAAGCCATATGTCTGGTGGCACATCAAAGAAGCTGTGTATTATGACATCACTGTAAATTTTGAAATACTACAGCAGAGTAACATATTGACAATTACAGTGTAATTTAAAAGCCATATCATAATCATAAATAACTAGAAAGGGATTTGATAGAGCACTGCAGTAAGCTTTAGAAGATTTGAGTCTTGTTTGTTTGTTTTTTTGAGATAGGGTCTCACTATGTAGCCCAGTCTGGCACTTGAAATCTTGCACTTGAAATCTTCCTGCCTCAGCCTCCTGAGTGCCGGGATTACAGATGTATGCTGCCAATCCCAACATACATTTGAGTCTTAATCCTTGCCTTAATTATAAGAATTTCGGTGACTTTGATCCATTGTGAAATGTGTTTTTCTTGTTCATAAAAGGATCTAGAAAAACTTAATAGTGTTAGGAAAATCAGTAGGTGATGGTGTGAAATATTCAACACATGCATTATTAATGTGGGCATACTTATTTTGAGACAGCCTTGCAGAGAAATTTGGCATCTTTAATTTAGAAAATGGAGTACAAGAGCTGTTCAATATTTTGGGTTCTATTTTATATTTTTTAGGGATTACTTGATGAAATTAGAAAGGAAAATATCCAGCTACAGGAGGAGATCCAGAAGCTTGAAGCTAAGTTACAAGAGCCCACCAAGGAATTCCAGGTACTCTAATGATTTTATGTATCCCACATTTATGGACATGCACTGTTCAGAAAAGCGATTTAATTATACAAGTTTCTCCTCTCTCTCTCTTCTCTCTTTCCCTCTCTCTGTCTCTCTCTCTGTCTCTGCAGTACTGGGAATTGAACTCAAGGCTTTTACACTGATCTACATCCCAGCCCTAGTTTATTTGTTTTCGTTTTGAGACAGGGTCTCAATAAGTTATTAAGTTGCCCAGTTTGGGCTCAAGCTTGCAATGCTCCTGTCTCAGCCTCCCAGAGTGCTGAGATCACAGGTGTGTGCCACATCCATTTTGTTTTTTATTGTGGGACAGGGTCTCACTAAATTGCCCCGGTGAAATGTGAACTTGTGATTCTGCTGCCTCTGCCTCTCTCAGGGATGGACTGTCTATATTCCCAACTCACAAGATTCGTTTTTCTTTTTCTATTAAATTTACTGGTGCCTTTTAGGTATACAGTACAGTTACATTCATCATTGGGATCTTGGGCCTTTACATGATGTATCTTGGTTTTTATTTTTTCCCCATTCCCCTGCTCTCCCTTCAATCCCTCCACCCTTCCCTATTTACAAAGACTTTGTTTCCTTTTCTCATATTTTTTCTTTTCCCTTCTTACCTTTACCCTACTCCTCCCATTTCCCCTACTCCCTTAGACCTTTTCTTCTTATTATACAATATCAATTATACGTTTTGATCCTTTTTTACACTTTTAGTTTTTCATACTGGAGAAACTATTTGGTATTTACATGTGTGTCCTATTAATTTCACTTAGGAGTAAGGCCTCTATGAGCATCCACTTAGCTATAAATATCTCTAATTTCTCATTCTTTTCTTTTTTTTGGTACCGGGGATCAAACTCCAGTCCTTGTGCTTACATAGCAGGTGACAGAACCACTGAGCTAAATACCTGGGCCTAATTTCTTATTCTTTATGGCTGAGTAGTACTCCATTTTATAAAAAAACCACATCTTCTTTATCCAGTCTCCAGTTGATGGGCAATTGGGCTGTTTTAGTTATTACAAACTGTGCCATTATGAATGTGGATGAGCATATATCACTGTGGTATGATTCTTTTAATTCTTTTGGGAAGATACCCAGCAAAGGGATAGCTAGGTCAAATTGGGCTTCTTTTTTGGTACCAGGGATCAAACTCGGGACCTTGCACTTGTGAAGCAGGTGGCAGCACCGCTGAGCTAAATCCCTGACCCTCAAATGGGACTTCTAATCCTAGTTGTTTGAGCTATCTCTATACTGATTTCCACACTGGTTGCAGCAGACTGCACTCCCACCAACAATGAAGTATGGTTCCTTTCTCCCCACAACCCTGCCAACATTTGTTATAATCCTTCATAACATTATTATGTATTTTAGTATATGTGCTGCTGAAGTGAGCATGTTTACTATGTATTTTAACAGCCCCAAATGGAAAATCACCTGACTGTTCTTTCACAGTTGAATAAATTAATAATTGGGTGTATTTGCACAATTAAATATATACAGCAATGAGAATGAACTGACCACAGCTATACAAAGCAAAAACATGGATGAGGGCTAGGGATTTAGATCAGTGGTTCAGGTGCCTGCCTTGCAAGCACAAGGACCTGAGTTCAATCCCTGGTACCAGAAACAACAACAACAACAACAACAACAACAAACATGGATGAATCTCCCAAGTGTGGTGACCCAAAAACACCAAAGAGGTCATAACACACAAAAATGGGACATTTAAAGTTAGCTAGTGCAGTGTTGGCGAACCTTTTAGAGCTTTCACTGATAACAGACAGCCTGCTGCCGCACATGTGCCGTAGATTCACCATCACTGTGATAGATAGAGGTGACCCTTAGAGGCAGGTAAGACCCTGACAGGAGCCCAGCAGTCTTCTGTTGTGTCCTGATGTCCCGCCTGTTGTCTGGGTGCCAGTCACAGAAGTTGTTAGCTTTGTAAAATTTCATCATGCTGTACACTTACTATATATACTCCATGCTCTTTTCCATTATGGATGCACACTTTAATAAAACCTATAAAGCCAAAAAAATTAATAAAATTTACAAAGGGAAAGTGATGGTCATTACCAATTACTTTTTGATCAAATGCTTGTTTTCACAGTGTTCTTTTATTCTGTCATCCACAATGCTGTACTAATTTAAATAGATTTTGCAGCTTAAAGTGTTGGGTATATATTACTCCTCACCATTTAAATTTTCTCCTAAATTCAACATAATTTTTATCTTCCATTTCTTCCTAACAGCTTAGCTTATTTAAAAATTACAAGAATGTCACTTCTTGTTTTCTTTTTTTTTTTTTTTTTTTTTTTGTTTGTTTGTTTGTTTGTTTTTTGAGACAGGGTCTTCCTGTCTTGTTGTTTAGGCTGACCTTGAACTTTTAACAATCCTCTTGCTTCAGCCTCTCAAATTCTGGGATTACAGGTGTATGCCGCCATGCGTGGTACTTCTGTTGTTGAAACGGGAGATGGGATGTTGAACATCAGGAAGTACAGTTAGCTGTGTTCCTTCGATGGCTGACCTCAAGCAGAAGACTGGAGGACTCTGGTTGCTTCTCAGTCTGGGGCCAGATCAAAGGCCTTTAGAAACCAGACAGGCCAGTGGGTCCAAAGAGCCAAGGGAGTTGCTCTGTGCTGCAGTGTGGTCAGCACTAGAGTTGGGCTTTCTTATTCTAATTCTAGAAAGTTCTTGGCTTCTTAGGGCAGATTGGGTATTTTCACACTTTTGGAAAACACTGCCTTTTTCAGACATTGCTCAAAGTTTTGGAGTTAGCCTGTGCACATCAGAAATCTTACTGAAGTTGCATGTGAAGATAGACATTTTATAGATTCAGTGATTTAGTGAATGTTTCTAATCTTTTTGTGATAACACTTTTTATTTCAGTGTGTAAAATAACCATAAGAAATAGAAATGTAAAAAAGCCATGAAAAATAGAAATGCTAACTGTTAAATCATTTGTGCCTTTGTGTGTAGTCACTTATGTCTGTCAATTCCAATGATTTTGTTTTATTTTATTTTATTTTTTCTCAGTATTGGAGATTGAACTCAGGACCTTGCACTTGTGAGGCAGGCATGGTGCCACTGAGCGAAATCCCCAGTCCTTTTTATTTTCATTTATTTATTTTTCTGGTACCAGGGATCAAACTCCGGACCTTGCACTTGTGAGGCAAGAGGAGGAACCACTAAGCTAAATCCCCAGCCCTATTTTTATTTTTGTTACTGGGGATTGAACCCAGGGCCTTGTACATGATAGGCAAATCTCAAAGGTTTTAAACAGTGGTTTTAAGTATAGTTATCTAACTTTATCCCATAAGTTTCAAGTCTTGTTGGTAATATCTCTTCACTTTTTAATAAACCTAAAGACTTGAAACTTACAGGTTTAGAATGAAACACTGTACAATAATTACCATTTTATATACTGATTAGGAGGACAGACATGGCAGTGTACACCTGTAATCCCAGCACTCAGGAAGTTGAGGCAGGAGGATTGCTATGAGTGTGAGGCCAACCTAGGTCACATAGTGAGTTCAAGTTCATCCTAAACTGCATAGTGGAACCCTGCCTCAAAAACAAAACAAAACAGGGCTGGGGATTTAGCTCAGTGCTTCCACCTCCTGCTTCGACAGCACAAGGACCTGAGTTTGATCCCCAGTACCAACAAAAATAAAACAAAACAAAAAAAAACTCCCACAGATTAGAAAAAATGAGGATTACGTACTTACAATTTCACCTATGCAATGATAGCAAAGGATCCACATTGATTGTATTACTGAGTATTTGCAGGAAGAAGCAATTACTGAAGACATTATATGAGACCACAGTCAATATTCTGTGAGGTTCTGGGGCTGGGGATTTAGCTCAGTGGCACTGTTCCTGCTTGGCAAGTGCAAGGTCACAAGTTTAATTCCCGGTACTGGGAAAAAACAAAAAAGAAAACAAAATACTCTATGAAGTTCTCAGAATCATTGAAGAATGGTTACTGGATGACCAAATCACATTGTCATCAGAAGAAGTCAAGTTATTTCTTCTCTTGGTTTTAATCAAATATTTCTGTTTGAATCAGATTAAAGTGGACATTCCTGAGACACAGGTGACATTCACATCATTAGAGAATCCTGAAGATGACAGGCAATTTTTACTTATCTCCTATTCATTTCAAGTGAGCTCACAAGTATCTTATGAGCTGCAGAAAGGACAAGCACTTATCACCTTTGAAAAGGAAGAAGGTATGACTAATCTTAAAAGTATGGCCAGGTCACCTTTGGGGACCACTTGAACTTTCAAAGAGCTTTCATAGATACTTGGCTATTCCTTAATAGTTATATCTATTATTTCTTCTTATCTCCTAGTGACACTCTGAAGCAGGCTTGATAGTCCTATTTTCCAGATGAGAAAAATAATTCTTAAGACATTAAGTATGTAATGGTCATCATTCATTCCGAAAGGGATGATTCTGCGATTAAATATAGGTGTCGTGATGTCTAGTCTAGCTTCTTTCTAGTCCCCAGGCTGCCTCCAAATGACGAGAATCACAGTAACGTTGTAGGGTAGTAGAACTCTATAGCTCTCAGAGTGTTCTCACAGACATTGTCTCATTTTATACTCACACAACTTTATAAACACAGTGGGATATGACAGGCGTTACACGTTATAACCACAAAAATAGATTCTGAGGACGTGGAAGTGATTTACCTAAGGGCACCTAATGAGGGAGTGGACAGAACCTGGGAGAGAGAGATTTGGGCTGAGACCTGTTGTTCACAAAGTCTCATAGTGTGAGCCGCTGGTCAAGGGCTAAGGTGCTTTTGTGAGGGTGATCTGGCTTTGAGCGCCAGCTTCATCTCGTTTTTGAAGCATGATTTGGAATATGTTCTTTGTAAGCCTCAGCTTTTAATGACAGGTTTTGCGGTAGTCCCTACTTCATGCTGCTGCTTTAAGTATTACATGAGAAATGATAGTAGAATCCTTAGCACAGTGTCTGACACTTAATAAACACCTTATAAATGTTATCTGTTATCACCACTACATGTCAGAGATTTTCCACATAAGGAGATGGAAGTTTAAAAAAGAGCAGTAACTTGCTCAAGGTCCAGACAGTTACTAAATCACAGAGCTGAAAGCCAGACCCTGAGTGTCTGTGTACTTTGTCCAGGACCAGCCCCCCTCTGAGCAGGCACCAGCCCAGCCTTCATACTAGGATTTAAGAGGTTTTTGGGTGAGACCAGGTGGTCTGCAGGTCCATTCCACTGCTTAGATTCTGAGAATCCACTCTCCTGACCCTTGGCCCATCAGATTGAAAATAAATATTAAAAGGAAAGATTCCAGAAAGTCAGCATATGAGGACAAAGCATTTGTCCCCAGTGAGCCACCACTACAAGCTGAGGGAAACCACACTGGCAATGGCAGTGATAATCAGGATGTAACTGGCAGACGTAAAGGAGGACTCGGGAGCTGGGTCTCTGCACAGCGGTGACCTCCAAGTGCTGGAATTAGAATTCTCTTCAGAAGCAGCAACAGCACTGCTTCCTTCCTTGGCGTGGCTCTGAGGTCCTGCTCTCCTGGGACAGTGTTAGCTCTAAATACAATTACATACGAGCTGGCTTTTGACTCAGAGTCACAGGGGCTGAGATGCAAGTAGTCCCTGTTCACTGCGTCAGATCACCAGATGTTGGGGGATTGGGGAGATCGGGAGGGAGAGTGGATCATCTGAATATTACTCATTGATATTGTCTGTAATTGTTGTCTGTTGCCATTAGCAAAAAGAAAAAAAAATCATCCAAGTTGTAGAGTCATATTGTGGTACAGTGAGTCTGAATTCCCACACGGCACCGCAGTGCCTTCTAGCTGTTTTTCTCTTCCTGCAGCCGTGGTATGCTATCTGGTTGTCATAAACACATGTGAGGTTTATAAGACAGAGTGAACATCTCTTGTCTTCATGATAAATTAGGATAAGCAGCTCCACATAGCAACAACTAAACACTCATAAAACCATGTTACACACTTAAAAAGAAACACTCATATACATATAAAACTGACATATATTTGCTCTCTAAATTTTTAGTGCCTTTTGGCATAATTATATTGATGAACCTTATTTGTGTGAGTAAATTATATTTAACAGCTTTATTAGTGGTTTAGTCCAGCTCTCAACTTTTTAAATCATCTCAAAAGCATTTTAGCAAAATTCTTCACTAAATGTGGCAGACAAAATAAGGAATCCCTCACTCTTTGGTATGGAAGCCTGTGTGGTTTTTAGTGTGTTATCCTTAGGAAGGCAGACACAGAAATGCGTATATATTTTCTGTAGTGCTAGTAATGTATGAATAACAAATGATAAAGCTAAATAAAATTAAAATTAATTATAAAAATGACTCTGGTCTACAAAAGTTTTCTTAGCTTATTCAGCAAGGAAGAATTTCTGGCCAAGTTTTAATGTACTAGGAATTCTCTGGATACTGGTAATGCTATCAGCAGTGGAAAGGAAGGATGTGTGGTTGGATGGAAATAATGCAGGAATTTTGGAGGATTATTAGTTTCTCATAAGAGATAAGAGGAGGGACTCATTTCCTAAGATAAGCGTAGAACTTGATGACTATTTTTACATAGTCATTTTTGCTGATGTATCATAACATATTCTTCTTTGGTGGTAAGACCATTATCGTCCGGAAATCCTAAGAAAAATGTTAAAACTAGACCCTTTAAAATTCAACAAAATTCTAATCACTCAGGATAATTTTTTCCTTAAAGAAAAGCATACAAATCTCTCAAACTGTTGAAAATTAATACTTCCCAAATTATTTTTCAGTTGCACAAAATGTGATTAGAGCGGGAAAGCATCAAATGTGGATAAAGGATGTGAATGTGGTGGTTACAGCCAAGCCAGTTCCATTGAATGCAGGGGTCAGATTTCAGGTAACAGGGGCATTAAAGCTTCTTGGAAGTTTGCTGGACCCAGACACATTCCTCATCCATATTTCTAAATATAAAACGATTTCCCAGGTTCACATAGAAGTCTCTCAAGTGAAGATCAATGTTACTGAAATTCCCGACGGGTTGCCTGAAGATCAGATGAAAGACAAGCTGGCTCTGAGTTTTAGCAAGTCCCGGAATGGAGGAGGGGAGGTGGAAAGCGTGGACTATGACAAACAGTCCCGAAGTGCTGTCATCACATTTGTGGACACTGGAGGTACCCCCGTTTAAAAGTTAACAAATCTGTGTGACTTGCCAACTATGTCCTGCCGTTTCTGAAAGTCCTTCTTAATGCTGGCCACAATTCTGGTCACACACCAACTTGGATGAGAACTGGATGATATTCATTGGTTAGCTTCAATATTGACCTTATGGAGAAATCTGATTCGGTTCTTGTCCAATTTGGTGTGTGACCAGAATCGTGGGAAGAATTAAGCTTGTGAACCGAGGGACCACGATATACAATTATAAAGCATTGACTGATTAGATTTTTCATTGCAAAGTAATATGTGCTTTTAAAGGAAAATTACAATAATGCATAAGAACAAAAATTGGGTACAGAATGAAGCATTTCCTCCCACTCTCTATTTAGTATTGTTAATTAGGTATCTGTCCAGACTTTTCTCTGGACATGCACAGACACATCAGTATGCATTTAACCTTGGTCTGGATGACCCATGGGATCTCGTGGTGGAATATGTTATAGTCAGACAGAGCCATGAGAGGGCGAGGTCTCCAGGGCTGTCTTAATATATTGTCTTAGACACGGGCAGTAGTATGGTGGAAATTTCTCTTGTGAAGGATCCAGATGTTTTCCAAATTTGTAAATTCAGCTTGTTTAATGGTAGATGATTCATTTCTTGTATTTAAAATATCATGACAGAAGAGCTTGTACCTTAAAATGCAGTTGAGTACTCTACGTGGGAGATAATACGAGCTGGGAAACCTGTGCTCTTATCCCATTTGGAGACATCCTCCGAGAACAGTGGTGGTGAACCTACAGCACACGTGTTATTTGTTTTTTTTAATCTTTTAAGACAAAAGGTGTTAATGTGTGAATTGCTTTTTCTAACCAAAAACCTCAGTATTCAGGTTTAATTGCAGTGTTGGCACTTTGCAATAAATAAGTGGGTTTGGGGTTGCAGTTTGGGCACTTTTCTCTAAAAAGTTCACCGTCATGCTCTAGAGGCTGTGATTAACCAGAAGAAAATAAAAATAGTTTTGGTGATAATGAGAGGTAACTTCTGAACGATCTGAAGGTATCTACAGATAGGAATCCCAGATAATTCATAAACGGTGCCACAATCAGTTCTGAGGGGCTGTAATTACACCTATTTTTCAGGAAAAGTAACTGATTGCAAGAAGTCAAGCACAGGAAAAAAAGAAAAAAAGAAAAAGAAGTTCAGCACAATTCTCCAGGCCACATAACTGATAAATAGCAGAGCCAGGACCTCTTCAGTGCAGGGCCTACACTCTTTATTTTTTAACTTCCACTTTTTTTGGACAACTGTGATAAACTGTACAGAAAACAGTTGCCATTTCAAGTATACAGTTTAGTGGCATTAAGTGTATTCATGAAATTGTGCAACCCTCACCACTCTCCATCTCCAAAACCTTTTCATGATTCCAAGCTGAAACTCCGCAATCATTAAATAATACTTACGATTATCTCTTCCTGTGGCTAACGGCTAATCACCATTCTACTTTTGGCCTTTACGAATCTGCCTTTGTTGAGTACCTCATATAAGTAGATGCGTACAGTATGTGTCCTTTTTGTGTCTGGCTTATTTTGCTTAGTATAGTGTTTTTAAGTTTCACCCATATATAGTATGTACTAGAATTTTACTTTTTAAAGACTGAATAATATTCCATTTTGCTATTATGTGTATGTGTGTGTAGATGTGTCTTGCACGCATTTTTTTGTTATTTTTTCTTTTTATTGAGTTTATTGGTACAATCTAGGTATACAATACAGTTACATTCATCATTGGGATTCTGTACCTTTACATAATAGGTCTTGATTCTCATTTTTCCCCCTTGTCCCTGCCATCCCTTCACCCCGTCCTCCCCTCCCCATTTACAAACACTTTATTTCCATTTTTTCAGTTTCTCATATTTTTTTCCTCTCCCTTATTACCTTTCCCCCACCCTTCCCACTTTCCTTATACCTTTAGCCCTTTACTTCCTATTTCACATTATTATCTCATTAGGATCCTGTGTACTATTATAGTTTTTCACACCAAAGAAACTATTCAGTATTTCAGTTAAAGAAATCTCTGTATGAACATTAAAAATAGGGAATCCTAAAATAAAACTAAAAAGGAAAGTAAAAGAGAAGAGGCAATGATGGAACATTAAAATAATCCTTGAAAATGGTTCCTGAACATATGTAAATTGCTTCTTGCTCTTATAGTCTTACCTTATTCTTTTTTTCATTATTTAGAGAATACTTTATTAGTTTCTGTAATCAAACCCACGTAGATTTGACCTTACATATTTAGTACGTGTTACCCCTGTATACATGGAAAAAAATAAAAAATAAAAATAAAAAAATTAACATTTCTAGACAAATATAGCTGTCCATTTCTGTACAATGCCAACTCAACACAGTAAATTGGGATGACTTTTTGCAAAATTGGCAGCACCATTAAAGTTTCCCAAAATTCAATTTATATATATATA